ACAGGGCACAATAACACTATCTGTCAGTGTCTCCATTATCTGCCTTTTATGTAATACAGGATCATGTCTTGTTCAAATAGTGATTCAACAGCTCTCGGAAGTAGTCAATAAAATTAAGAGTGTATGTGGTAATGATGCAACAGGCCTGTCAAGCTCTTTATGATATCTAATAAATCCAACTCTCATAGGTGGGTGGATGAAACAAGAACATATATTTTTCTTACTTGTCTGTGCATATACAGTGATCAAGGTCAGTGCAGTGTGCACATTTTTTATATTCTCAGTACCAGCAGGCAGTTTTTGCAGTCTTGTCCTCCCACTGCTTTAATCCAATCCTTTATGTTCTTCTCTTGCTGTCTTCCTTCTAGTGCCTTTGTTGTACTTAATCCACTTATTAGGATACATAGTAAACTGAAATAGCTTTGGTTATTGAAATATTAGACATGCACAGATTCTTCTAAATACACCTAAAATAAACTGACAATCTTAATTAAAGAAAAAAGCAGCAATCACAGATAAGGCAAGCAAGCAGAACAGTGCTGTTAGATGATATAGAGCAAATAAAATTACCAGTTATTCAGTCATCTGCCTGGCTGGGTATGGAGAGAAATGTTACTTAAAAAAAAAAAAAAACAAACAACCAAATTATCAGAGCAATGCATTTGTTTGAAAGAAGTGACATTGGTGTTATTTTCTAGGAAAAATTCACATTGCATTCTAAACCTGGAGGGGCCAAATTCCACTCTAAAAACCATATTCCAGATGGTCTCTTGCTAAGAAACATATTGTCTTCATGTCCTCTGACTATGCAACATCTACATTTCCCCAAGCCAGAAGGCCATCCCTATCTTTTACCAAATCCGTATTTCCGAACTACCCCCGAGTCGTCTTCCCCTTTCCCTGTTGTAATCTGCATGCAAGCCATATCCGTCAGCAGAATACCAGTTCTCTGAGCAACTTCTATCCTGAGCCTGCGCAAATCTGTACCCCAACTTCTGCTTTGGATATATGTGACTATTCCCCAACGCCTGTACCTGACTAGCCAGCTTCAGGATTGTGAAGGCAGCCAGCGCAGACATCAAACACAAAGCACCGCAGCCTCACCCCCATTTGTGGTCTCCTGTGTCAAATACTACTGTGATCAGCTGCATTTCTGGGAGTTTCTGGTGCATGAGGCCTCAGGTGAATCCCACGTCTCTGATACTACCATAGCTGACCATATCTAACTGAGCCCTGCAAGAGGACACCTCCAGAGCTCTGCTCCTCTTTTACGATCCCAGATGATCGCTCACCCCCACAGATAACCTAACATAAAATAGTGAAGACATGAGAGAGCACGAGGGGAGCGAACCAGCTGGTAAACCGCATGAGGAGTGCTTACATGCCACCTATTTGGCTACCCAGCTCTGTAACAACTTTCAAAACTAGCACCACTCTTGAAAATAATCCCCCTGACTGAGGGACCTGCAGTATTAACTGGAGAAAATACAGTGTTGTCTTCACATAAAACATAGGTTTAGCGATACTGCTCCTCTTTCAACTGTATGTAGATTATCTTTTATAGAAATAAGAGCATATTATTAGTATTCAAAAGGTTATTCACAACAGATTAGCCAGCTTCTCTCAGATACACAAGAGGGACTACTGCAGTTTGATCCATACTCTGAACTCTGATAGAAACAAAGAGGACTCTGCAGTAGGGGCATTGGGAAGGACTGACTCCCAGTGATGAGACATTCCCGTCTTTGCTCTTTTCTTATCCCAAAACTCTTCACATAACCTTGTTAGAGCAGTCTGAAATCCTGCCTATAATCTGTGTTAGGTTACCTCTGATTGCTTATCTTGATAAACATGTATAGATGAGAAGTGCACAAAGCCAGAGTAGAGAGATGGAAAGCTGCTTCTCTCAGTTCGTTTGGCTGCATTCAGTCAGTGTGTTGAATGTCAGAACCTGAGGTGAAATTCTTGGATGATTTCAGTTGATTTTGGAGCAAATCTAAGATTAATGTGAATGGGTTTATATTTTAGAATTTATTGTTTTTAAAGATGGTGATTCAGGAGATGTAAACCTTTGACTTGAGCCGAGAACTGATATACTGAGGCCTGTATTATTTCATATTGACTTTTTTTTCATTAATAATCACGATTGTGTACTTCATTTTAGTTTTATAAAACTTAGACAATGAGAGTTAAGTAACGCCACTGTTTTTTTTCTGAAAGTGTTTATATTAATTTTGTTTAATATTTACAGTAGACATCTACTATCAATACAGTATATTTTAAGAAACTTATTCCCATACTTGCTCCATAACTATAAATCAAAATAGAAAAAGCAGATTTTTAATGCCCAAAAAAATCAGAATAAAGATTACATGGGCTTAAATTCCTCAAAGGATTTTAACCAACATTCACGCTTCATTTTTCTTTCACAAGATCTAATTTTGAGTATGAGGCCCAAATGATTATTTCAGTAACCAAATGCCAGTTATTAACAGTTACATAAGTGCTTAGTTTGATACAAGTTCTCAAGAGATTTTTCTTCTTTTAGGATAATTATTTCTTAATTTATTGACTAGCAAGTATGCAAAAGCAGAAGTTTGAGAGAGTTTTGCCTCTTCCCTCAATGTTACCTTATTTTCTCCATGTTTAACTAGGTATAAATGATAGTAAATAGCACATTCTGCTTATCGGTTATATTGGTTTATGCCTCTATTTTTTTAATTAGGAATGTTTTGTGTTTGCTGTTCTTTTATAATCTTGGAAGTGTCAGTTTGTAATTTGTATTAGATATGGAATTATAATAATCTGTTTTAAATTGCTTATTACTTCAACTGTTGGCATCAGAAATGGCTATGCATTGTTTCTGAATTCAGCTATTTTTTCTTGGAAAGTTGTAGGAAAACCGGTCAGTAATTTCAGAGAATTTTTGAAGGGAGGGGAGAGTCATTTCATTTATGTTAACACATTCTTAAAGCTGTTTAATTGAGAAATCCTTGTGTTTCCAGGTTCTGGAAGGAGTTAAAATTTGTTTGTCTGATGATGACCCACCCAAGACAAATCATTATACGCATCTAAAAATCTCTGCGTACATATTCTTTGCAGGACCTAGGGGCTGAAAGCATTGTTTGTTCTCTTAGGCTTCTGTGTGCACTGAGAATGCACTATAAGGAGGACAGCTTGCTGCCAAAACTTTCTCTGTTCCAAGGCTACTGTATCTGAGAAGGTCTTTCCCTGTAGTTTTTGTGGGTGTTTCATAGAGGGTAAAGGCATTTGTAAGGCCTGTTACACCACGGGAAGAGCATATCTTGGGAGCTTGTTGAATATCATTCTATTACTCTTATTGTCCAGTACTATTACTTATTGTCACCTTATGCTGGAGAGAGTAGACGGCAACAGAAAATTACATTTTTCTGTGAATAATAAATTTGATTAGTGGGAAATAAAATCCCTGAGACAATAAACTGTATGTGCCTGAGGCTGTAAAGAAACTGTGCACAATTTTTTAAAAAAATCAGTAGAATCTCATCATCATGAGGTAGAGCCCTCAAATATTGTCAGGGTGTAATGGCTTCTTTCTGCCACTCCTTGTTTCTCTTTTCCTTTGCTGCTTCTTGCTTCTTACTAATATCCTCTGCTCCAGTGTGGCTCCTCCATCGGTTGTGGTCCCTTCGGGGGTGTTACCTGCTCTGCCATGGAACACCTCCCGATGCACTGGCCTTGTTGCCTTTTTGGGGAATTTACGGCCTTTTCTTAAATGTGTTTTCCCAGAGGTGCCACCATTTTGGCTGCTGGTCTCAGCTGTGCCCCGCGGTGGGTCGGTTGGAGCCGGCTGGAACCGGCTGTGTCCGGCACGGGGCAGCCCCGGCCTCTCCTCACAGAGGCCACCCTGCAGCTCCCCTCACTACCAAAAATTTCTCAGTTATGCCCAATATAGGGTCACAAAATCATGCCCCACAAATACTAGCGAACAGTTTAAGACATTCATTAGTAGTAAAACCACTCCTGCCTAGTAAATACAAGACCTTTGATAGCAAAATGGTGTGATGGTGAGCTTTTCTGGAGCAGTAACCTTGAATTCCAAATATTCTGTTTGAGGCAATTTTGTTGAAAAGATACCATAAAATACTGTGACCGGAAAAGCAGAAGTCCAGTGCTTTGACACTGGCAAGCATACGGAGTGTGCCTCGATAAACTACTATTTAGGCAACACGTTGTTGAAAACAAATGTCTTCTCCCCAAACCAAAAACTGTCCCAAATGTCCCCACAATATATTTACCAGCTACTTTACAAATAGTAGTATCATGTAAATTGAAGATGTTTATCATATTTGTTGTCATTGTGTCAGAATATCACTCCATTTCTTTCTGGGGAGACTGGGAAAAAGAAATTTAACTTGTGCACAGAAGATGAAATATGTTATAAAAAGTCAAGGGAATTTGAGAACTGTTTACGAGTAACTCTGCCTTTCTCTGTGAATTAGGGCATATGAACTTCAAACCCAGCCATATTTCTATACGCAGGCTGTGGTGTGACTTTACTTTAGCTTCCACTCTGCCTCTGGCCTCCCAGCTTGCTTATCTGAGTCTCCTTCAGAGGCTGCCAAAGTATGTGTCCTCCACACCCCCTCTGGCTGTGACTTGACACCACATCATCCCCAAACATTCTTAACTTATCAAATATTTTAAAATACATTGCGATATTTGAATGTTCTTGCAAGTTGAACGCTTTCATTGTCCAAGCTGAGTAAAATGTAAACAATAAAGTAGCACAGAGTGAAAACTAAATTGACATGCAGAACTGCCAGTGAACGAGGTACAGATATACATCTTTTATTCTTAACACTTTTAACTTTACAGTTTCCTATAAAGATTAAAATTTTCATTTGAAGTCCGTTTTTGTTTTCTCAGTAGTCTGTTCTGTATTTATGTAAAATGTTTATAAACCTGAATATGAATTCACATTTTCTCTTCTTTTTTTTTCCTCTTACTTCCTCTTTCAGGAACTTGAATTTCAGGATCTGACGGCAGTTTTACACTGTATTCACTCCTTTATAGCAGCAAAAGTGGCATCTGTGGATCCGGTATTCATAGACAGTCAGAGCATTGCAAGAAAATATATGTATAGTAACTGATATCAGATTATATGTTGTGACTATGGAAAATAAATTATTTTCTTAAAGAAAGTAGTTATTTCATGCACAATATTGCAACTTTGTGATTTTATAAGAAGTCTATAGTTGTGTTATCTGTAACGTTAAGAGTTTTCACAATTCGTTAAACATTTTGAATCTATGAGTTAACAAATATTAAGTCAAACTGAATCAGTTTGTCATCTTCAGCATTAATACAAAATTCTGAGTGAATATTCATTCAAAAATATGTTATGTCATTTTGATTTCTGCTGTCATGGTCATACATACTCCCCCATATTACATAGAAACGTGGAATAGCATCTGAAAAGTGTGTCTCCAAAATTTGGCCTCTAAGTCTGTTTTGAAAAGTGCTGGGCACACAGACAATTTCTACAGCAAAAAAAGAAAAAATTATTGAAGACAACTGCCATAGGAATTGGACTTTTATCTTGCTTTGATATGTTTGAAAAATAATAGTTCTGCTGTCCAGTTCTCTCGAGGCCTGAGAGTTTAGCTCTGGCAAAACACTAAGTACTGTTTCAGATTGAGGAAAAGACTTAAGCACACACTTGACTCTAAGCATATTAAGAAGCCCCAGTGTATGCACAAGGTAATGTTAAGTATGTATTTAAATATCGTGGTAGATCAACTGAAGAGCTTTAGAGTCTGCTAAGGAGCCTAACTATAGGCATTCAGTTTTAGAAAACTTGCCATAGGGTTTTCTTATCTTCTAATAAAGCTTCCATGAGTCATTCGTTTATTCGTTCATAGATTGCCTTGACGCTATCCTTTGATGTGATGCTCTGTATGGTTGAGAACAGCTTCTTTAATAACTGTTTTGTTTGGAGGAGATTGCTCCCAGTATAGGGTGAACATAACAAAACATAAAGATTTTTCTGGGCCATCTACGGTTTTTTTCCTACAGCTCTAACCCTGACTTATACACAAGCAAAGTGAGTTTTGTCCTTGCTAAGGAAATAATATGGTACTACTTTTGACATATTCCTAACCTTCCTTCTGAAATCATCTTCTTATATGCACAGATAATACTTCCTGCTATTGAAAAATTATGTAACATGAAGATATTTTAATCTTAGGGCATATTCCCTGTAAGTAATACCAAATATTGCAGGTTTCTGTGATAGAAGTCTCAGTTGTTCTCAAGCGCAGTTTTGAGGCAACATCAGGCAATTTTTTTTTTTTCCAAGAAAATAAAACAATCAAAAAATCAAGCAAGAAGAATATCCTAAATAGATACAATGGGTATGGACCAAATTCATCAAAGTCCTCCCTAAATTTTAGGAGTCTAGTAAAGTATCCTGCTAAAGTAAAAGCCTAAAGTTACTGTATCCTAAGGAAAAGAGGTAGGTGCCTTTAAAAGCTCTCAGGTGAGGAATGTTTTTACATAACTTCAGCACTTAAATTTAGTCAGAGAGGTTCCCCCTTTCAGATCTTAATGTAGTTAGCTGTCTTGGCAGACTGCAATGGGGCCTCAGGCACTTACTTTAAATGGCTGCTTACCTGTCCACCTAAAGCTTAGGCACAAATACAGTGCCTAAAGTAGGTGATTTGATCCTACCATAAGGATTACCTGTTGCCAAGTGTTATCCATAGAGAAATTCATTTGAACAGTAGAGACTCTGTTTGCAATTCCAGTGTTGTTTACAGTTCTAATGTTGTTTGCAAGGAGGGATGGTAGGAGCGCTAACTCCTGTTAAAACAATATTTAGCAAAGATGAGAATGAAAAATTTTTTTATTAATTGTAAATAAATATTTATAGCCATTATGGTATTTTTTAACAAATATCATCTCAATTTTATATTACATTTTTTCCAAAAAATCAATCAAAAAATTGCCTTTCTCAAACATGCTTTTATTCAAAATATTTCCTTTAATTTTCAGCTTTCTATTTTATTTTCAGCTCTTTGTATTTACTGAGATTTTAACATTCACAAATTATAGCATTAAAATTAGAATAGCTTTCCTACAATCAATTCTCAGTTATTAGCATGAACTATTATAAATGACAGAGTGTCTGTAGGATGAAGAATGATGGAATTCCTGCAATTTTGTTTTTCTGCTGTTTTCTCATATACAAAGTTCAACACTAACATGGAACAGTAGAAAATTGTACCAGCTAGTACTGAACTGGTACTACAGTCAGACCTCTAGACTTAATGTTTTAAGTATCATGTGATTAAAAACACAGTGTATCTCTCCAGATACTGTAAATAAAAACTTAAAAGA